AAAGGAGCAGCGAGCAGTATATAGTGCACAAAGCGACCGCGCGTGCACGCCGTCGAGTCGAGCGATCTCTCTCTCTCTCTCTCTCTCTCTCTCTCTCTTGGCTTCTGCGGATGATAGCCTCGGGGCCGTTATGGACGAGTTTTGCGCGCGCGAGCAGAGGAAGTGGTAGAGAAAGAGCCCCTTGCAAACTTGGCTGCTCTCTCTGCACAACTTTTGCCGCTTAGTCGGTTATTTTCAGAGAATAATTGGCGCGGTAATATTGGCAGGAACTCGCTTGTTTACACTACTTGTGGAATATGCAAATTTATATCGCTCTATATACGCGCACCGTGCGTTTTATTGTGTCGACTTTCAAATGAAACAAGCTGCCCTTTTTTTTATCACGCACAAATTAGCTTGACGATTACTCGCTTTCTGTTTGCTTTGTCGAATTATAATATTGCATATTTTACCGGTATGCGATATTGGCGGGCTACATAAATAAAATTTTTAAAAATAAATAAATAAACTGTATACACAAACTCGCGCTTCCCGCGAGTTGAAAGGTGCTGTTATGGCTAGAAATGTACTTAAACTTTTGTAACGGTTATAAAATACTTTTTATTGGTCTTGTGCTGTTGGAAATCGAAACGGAAATAGACGCGGAGGAAAGCCTATAAACGTCCCTCGAAAGTAAAATCGTAATATTAAAATATCCTCCATCAACGCCCATTTTCATAAATTAAAATCTGTAATAATGCAGGCTCGAAAAAGATGAACCCCACCAACGGTATATAAATCCTCGCTGAAATATAAAATAATTCTCCTCGCCGTACCGCGTTTACAAAATTAATTTCCAAAGGAAACCACGAAAAGCATTTATTTTTAATCGGTCGGCGCGCGCGGCCATTCAATTTTTCACGTCGCTCGCACGAAAAGTATAAGGTTTAGCTGTCACAAAACTGAAAAATGATTCCAGGTAAAACAGGGGAAGAAGCGCAGCGTTCATACGATATCCGTCCAAGCGTAGTCGGGTTCGTTTTTGGAAAAAGACGTAGGTATACGTGTAACGGAGAGAGAGAGAGAAGCAAGCAGCAGGAGCAAACGATGCAGGTGCAAGAGAGGCGCGTGGCGGCACACGACGGAAGAATACGATGACCCCAAACCGGTTCTCCAACTGCTGCGGCAGGAGCAGCCTCCCTTTTTCTCTTTCGCGTTGCTCTTGTTATTACCAGCACTTCCTTGGCTCGCACGCTGCGGTTTCTTGAAGAGAGAGAGAGAGAGAGAGAGAGAGAGAGAGAGAGAGAGAGAGAGAGAGAGAGAGTGCGCGTATGTGTGCTTTGCAATGGGTGTGCACCACCGACTCCCCACCGCCGCAACATTGAACAATGTATGCCTGTACAGGCTGTGGCCATTCTCTGGTAAGCTTCGCGTGCGACTTGCGTATGTGCTCGCGTTCACTCCGCGATTCATATCTATTGCATTTCATTTTAATATTTCATGATGGGCACGTACTCAATTATCATTGCACTACTTTCACTGCAGAGGATTGACATTTCGAGAATAATTATAATATTCTCGTTGTTTGATATTGCGTTCAGGAGATGCGCTTGCGGTGCACATTCGATGAATAATTGTAAATTCGTGGTCGAATCGAGCATCGGATAAGTTGTTTCGTGAAATCACATGACGACGTGAAAGGGTAGCTGTACAAGTGGACATAGAGACGAGCGACAAGTCAAACTAATCGTTTTAACAAACGAAGTCGCAGGATCAACATTAACTGGAAATCCTATATTTGAGATGACGAGGTGGCGCAGGGATGAGTGCTGACGCGAGAAAGGTGTGCGCAGCAAATGCAACGAGGTAGCATAACGATCAACATCCTTGTCGTAAACAGTAACAATATTAGTGTTAGCAGACTGCTCCAAAGTAAACCTTATCGTCGCGCGAGCGCGCAGGCGAGGCCTGCACGTGAAATTATGCTGAAAATTTGGATAGGCAGGCGGCAGCGCCAGCGGATCCGCGCGCAATTGACCTAATTACGTCAAAACACGCTTGCCCCGAGCCCGCGTTGACAGCTCGCGTCTAAATCCTCGCGCGCCGCGGCGGCGCAGCCGAGCCGAAACGCGAGCGCCCGTAATGCGGCTTCGAAAATTGCGCGCCGAGTGGGAGAAAAACTGGCGCGAGCGAGGCAGCAGCTGCTCGTTTCTCACGTTTCTTTCGTTGGCTGCTGTTGTGGCGCACTTAATCAGGCGGCGGCGGCGGCGTCAGTTTGACACGCAACGAGCGCATCGCAACCCGCTGTTCTCTCTCGCTCTCGCTAACGCTTCATTTCCACGTTTTAGTTACGATCGCGCGGCCAGGCAACGGACGCTTTCTCACGGATCCGACAGGCTCTCGCTACCGTCGTCGTCGTCGTCGTCGCGATGATACGGGAAAGCCCGGCTATACACGACAGTATGTTAACAATACAGCAGCGCGCGGCTTCTTTCGGCTTGCCAAGTGGGTAATCTGCGAATTTTTCTCACCGAGGCGCGAATATTCCGACGTGAACGCCGCACCAGTTTGGCCGTCCGAGCGCGACCGGAACGAACGGCAAGCCGAAATCGATTGCAGCGAGCGAATTTGTAATCTCGCGAAACCCGAAAGCGTCGACTCACGCCAGCCCAAACGCATTGTCAGTCCCAAGCGACATTCGACGCGGCGGATATTTAAATCTCACGCTTTGTACGAGGCTGATGCAGTCACGTACAACGGCTAAGACGTGCCTTCCATCGAACGCACCAAAGGTACGCGCATGCTGTGCGACTCGCGTTTTCGAGAAATCACTGTCCTTCGCGCGCGAAAAATCCCAGCGCCCGCGGTCGGGGAAGAGAGTCGAAGCGCGTTCGGTTTTGCGAATACGCGGGCGCGTAGCAGTAATCAGTGGGCGCGCGCGCTAGTAAGGCTTATCGGGATCTCGTTTTGGCCTGTTACCTCGACCGAGCGAGAGGCTGTTTATGCAAGTTTTATCAATCGCGCACGCGGCCTCGATTGCCTTTTACGCCGATGGATTCGTTCCGTTATCTTATGGGCTGCTGCTGCTGCTGCTGCAATGCTTATGAGAGCGCGCGCGAGATATCGACAGCGTCAATTTTTTCAATTTTTCTTTCAGACGAACTCGCCGTAATGGCTATTGATATGACCGTTAGTTCGGCTGCGCGCAGATAACGACTTTTTAGTTTCTCTCTTTTGGAAGGGTCAAATGCATTTCCTGCTGTAGGTGTTGATAGCAATGCGTGTACGCGCGCGATCAATTCTTGAGATTAGAGCCGCGCCAATTGTGGATACTTGAAACATTCGTTACCGCTACTAGAATAAGAATATTCACATGCGCGAATAACGAATCACAAGTCTAAATTCACAAAACTAAAAGTATCAGTTATTGTGACTTGGCTGTAATAAATTTGGAATGTTAATAATTAGAGAACACGATATGGACCTATATACAATATCAACTTTTCATAGTTGTAAAAGTTTAACACAATTAGGATATTCAGACAAGGGGTCATTATAGTTGAAGCAAGACGCTCTTGTTCTGGGTCCAAAACCATAATTAGAATAGCTTTTAAACTATTAGATTAATTAATCTGATAGTTTCAATTTATAAATCCAAAAGTCGACAACACTTTGAAGTTGAAGTTCGTCGTGAAGAATATTTGCAAAACTAGAGCACTTGACGTAAATTGAATTGACACTATTTTTTTGCAATGAATTATTAACATCAAAGCTTTTTCCTTTTTCTTTTCCTTCTATAAGAACAATCAGTACTAATTGTACAGATGGATTCCATTTTTTTAAAACGCCACTCATAACAATAATATAATCATAACAATAATGCTCGAAAATAAAAAAAGTCCAGCTTCAAAGAGAATATTTTCATTCAAAGCTTTATTCTTTCTATAGCCTTACCCACAAACGTTGCATTTTGATAAAAATCTAAAGAATTCGGAGCGGAGAAAAAAAAATGTAATTCGTGGAACGGAAGCCAGATAATATTCAGGGCTTGTCAGCGCGAGAGCAGGCGAAAAATTATTAAAGAAAACGTTGCAAGAAGAGACGACTGACGCTAGATGAGAGGTAGGGTAGCGATTGGACGCAGTGAAGCACAGTGAAATCGCCAACCCTACGAGTACACAAGTCGACATGGCGCATTCCCATGCGGAATCCGAGTCGCGTTCTCGCTTTGTCGGTCGGTTTATTCCCTTTGCGCGTGCGTGTTTCTGGATATATGCGTTACGGATATAATACAAGAAGCCCATTTCGTTCCCTTTATCCCTGCGATATGGGACATTCTGTGTGTGTCTTTACTCCTGAAAGCTATTTCTCTCTCTCTCTCTCTCTCTCTCTCTCTCTTTTAATAAATATCCTTGTGATATTATGACTTCTTTTTGACGTAACTACACGGACTTTGTCGCTGAAAATTGCGGATTGTCTTTTATCTCGCTTGAATCTCAGATTGCGAAGGAACTCGCATTTTCTCTGCTACAGCGTTGTTTCGCTACCTATGATATTCTTGTGAAACACTTTTCATTTATCGTTTCTTATACCGAATGTCCAGTACGTTGGAAAATGTTAATGAGATTTTAGTGGTTTCTCGCGAAAATAGATATCAAAGTGAAAATTTGTATACGTAATAAAAAAAATGTGAAAATTTGTTATGAGTCATCTCTGTAATGATATAGGCATCCATTTGATCTTCAAACGGATGTGTTTTGACAAGCTAAGCCTTTATTAGCCATTCTACTCAAAAGAATTCGCTTATTACCTATAGTTGATGAACCTGTAAATCGAACTTTTCTACGAAACACTCGATGTATGAATTCCGATCTGACTATAATGAATAATAAATTATAAAATATTGAATGCTCGCTGAAAGAATAACTCTTGACTTATATAAGTATCAGAACAGATTATTTTTTAATTAAAAATACACTGCTAGTGACGATTTTTCTATGCGTAATAATTAATAAACAAATTTAAGCTTCATAAGTCTTAACACCAGATAAGTTTCCGCTTTTGACATTCTCGATGAACCCTAGATAAGAGGAGACTCTCGTGTAGATGGACGGATAAGCATCAGTATCGCATGAAACATCATAGGTGCTAAGCACTCCGACAACTGTTTTATTGTCTAAAATCACAGGACTACCTTTGTCACCCTGTTACAAATACAATAATAATTAAACGTGACGTCGATTTGATTCATGGGTATAAATAAGTAAAATCAGTAAAGCTTACAATGCAAGGGCCTGCATGCCTAAGAGTTTCAATAACTTTTACGCAAATGTGACTGTCTTTCACGATATTTCCATAGCCTTGCATTTTACATCTCTCATTTCCGACGATTTTTGATTTAGCAACTTGCAATTCGTATAGCGAATACCCATTAAATATATCATTACCGTCGTCATCTTGCAATCTATGCAGATACCTAGCTCCAAACCCACCTGCCATTACTGTAAAATTTTCGTAATTGGAATATGCACCATTAATTAATTTAGGTAATTCTAATTTTTTCACTTTGTCGCTATTCTCGTCGAGACGTAGGATTTCCTTCAACTTGACAACATCATAGTTATAGTTTTCATAATTAAAAAGAAATAGATTAGCAGATGGTTTTCAGAAGATGACTATAATACCTCCAATATGGCAACATCGTCAATGTTAAATTGCCCTTTGCTCAACTTGAAAGTAGAAGGAATGTAAGCTTTAGAGACGTCAATAACTAGAGCTGATTCCCACTTGGTCAAATCAACGGTTCCAGCAATAACTTTCGAGGGCTTTATCAACTTGCCAGTACCTTCGTTAATACCGACGCATGCAGCTGACGTTAAAATTAATTTTTCATCGATTATTACTCCTACACAAAGAACGTCATTACTTATAAAAGCAACGTATTGTTTCGCTTCGTTAATAGTAGGATTTCTACCGCCTACCAGTCGTTTCCGCAATGTATGAGCTGCATCTTGGAGAAATAATTTTCGTCATTTATTAAAAAAAAATTTTCAGATATGGAATATTTTATTGTAATTCAATAATGGCTTACCATTATTTCCAAAAAGGAATGAACAAATAATGAAAAACCAACTGATAAAATGCAAAGTATACATGTTTTAGAATCTTTAGTTCCAAATTTACTAACGATGTTTTTTCTCTTGAACTTTCATATATATTCAGACACATGAATAGATGAAATATTACCCAAGTATTGAATTCTATATCTTGTTTTCAGTCACGAATCGAAACACATGTTTAAACTTGTACACAAATGACGATCAGTAGTTGATAAAGAAATTATTAATAGCACTTGGAATGTCTATACTAACTGTTTTGTAGTTCACTACGTCAATTCTGTTTCCACAAAACGTTATTGCGTCGTTATTTGTACAGCTGGAAGTCTTTCTAAAAAGACTTTGCTTTAGGGTTAAACAATGAAAATAACCTTTATCAATAATTTATATTCTCATTGTATCTGAGAAACACGTGAACGGATTATTGCAATTTCCGGTTAACCATGATTATTGTCGTTTTTTTCGGCAACTTTAAAGTTATTACGAAATCAATCAGTCAATATTGATTGTATATTCAATGTTATATATTTCTAATGAAAATGATAATAGATAATATAATGAAGCTTTCTTCTATTCATCCTAAATCGACCATTTATTGATTTTATGCTTTTTTCAGGCAAAGCTTCATGATTTTTTTGTGCTAGTAAATAGTCAATATATAAATATTACCGCTGATCTTATATTCTAAACTAAGAGCGGTTATTTCTAACATAATCTATATAGTAATTTCTCAATTATTTAAAAAGATCTGTAATTAACTTTATTCAAATTATTTATTTTATTAAAGGTAACCCAAAAAAAAATGCCGATTCCTTTTCTTTTTAACGCTGTGGAAACGTTAAAATTGACTTTTAGCTAACAGCGTCTAATGATTCTTGGAAAACTCTAATCCATTGTATATTGATTATTTACTAATAATAATGGAATAGCTTGATCGGATAAAGCATTAAATTATTTAGGATAATTTGATGAATAATTCCTTATCAACTATTGATCGTCGTTTGTGCAAAAATTCCAACAATTTTTCAATTCCTGTCTGAAAATAAGATATACTATTCAATACTTGAGCACTCTATTCCATCTGTTCATGTGCCTGAATATATATGAAAATTAAAAAAAAATTATCATTTTAATTTGGAACTGAAATTTTTATAACACATGGATACTTTACGTGTCATTGTCTATTTTTTTTATTTGCGCTTTCCTCTTTGAAAATAATAGTAAGAAATAATTCAACTGCAATAAAAAGTTCTATAATTATATTTCATCATTAATAGATGATCGCGTGCAATAAAATTGTCCAGCTACAGTTCCACTATCAACGTATCTAATATAGAAGGAACTGTATGTACCTAGGTATTTGATTGTTCAGTCTCGTATTTGGTCACCAATTTACTATTTTTTTCATAATTCAACGTAAAATAAATATATTGTCACAAAACGTTATTCTACTGCAATTTGCACAGTTAAAAATTTTTCTAAAATCAGCGACTATTTCAAGTATACACCAAAAATTATCCCTGTAACACAAACACATATCTTCATTATATTAAATGTAAGTTTTAATATTTTCAAATCAAAATTAAAAAGTTATGCAAGAAGTGAGACGGATAACTTGAGTTTTCAACTTTCTACGCGAAAATAAGTGATTGAATTAAAATACTTATTTATCGTTCTAGTTCAGCGAAATTTAATTACAATAATTAACCAACAATAGAATGAAAATCAGGGCGATTCCCAAATAAACTGTATCAAACAACTTAATCGCTGAAGAGTATATATTAAACTCATCATTGAAAGATTGATGAGAACGATTACACGCGTTACACTTATAATTGAGCCCACATGGCAGACATTACTTGACTGCTGTATAGTAACCGGGTTTCCGCACTATCGCCTTTTTTGATGAAGCAGTCCAGCTGAACTTCTGACGCTTGGGATTGAATTAATATTCGCAAACTCGAATTAAAAAAGAACTGCGGAAACGTTACGCTCGACGAATCGTGAATGACGCGATAAATAATATACTATTCATTGGCACATCGAATAAAACATTCAACCTATCGATAAAAGCGTCGTCATCTTTATTCGTCCTTCTCTGGGTTTATTGAATAATCACTATTTATACAATTAAATTACCAGGTGATTCATATACATCAAGAGACATTTCATTCTATGAAGCTATTTTTCCGCGAAAACGAATGAAAAAAAGCAGAGCGAAACGGATTAGGAAATCGCTGATACGCGTATCGGGAAAATTGCGCTGTCACTCTCAGAGAGAGAGAGAGAGAGAGAGAGAGAGAGAGAGAGAGAGAGAGAGAGAGAGAGAGAGAGACTCTAGCTACACTTTCAGTAAGGTATATCAGTTCTCTCCTGTACGCACGTTTTTTTTTGTTTCCTGCCCATGCGCGATATCGAGTGTCAACCGTGTATACTGCGCAGCCGTGGATGCGCGTATACACTTATTTTTCTCACAACGATCGGTTGGACCCGCGAGTGCAGATCACTCATGCAAAAACCCCATGTGCAACTTCATTTTCACGTACAGCATGAAAGAAAATACTCAAATGCGTGTATGAGTTGGCGATATACTGATTTACAAAAGAGAATATTTAGGGTGAGTTCAGCGACGTATAAACTTCCTGTTCCACTCTGAAAGCGAACGGTACTTTATTATCATTATTATTACGCCGAGCATTATCGTTATAACACTTGCTGTTCTTGCACGTGCGACATTTCACATTGTCATCGGTGATCTATGAAGTTGTTTTGCCACGCTGCAGCCTTCATTAATCTACTTTGACTATGAACAAACATTCGATGAATAATAAGCCCACAGTTTCAGTTGCGAAAGTATGATGCAAAGTAGACTTTGTAAAAATGAAAGCTCTGCAAAAAGAGGAGGCTGGGCGGAAAATGAAATAAATATAGCCGAGAGAGTAGAATTACGCGAGGACCGGCCTCGCAAGCTCAGGGCTGCGCGAGAAAACGAGAGCGTGTGAGAAGAGCGAAAAAAGAGATCACGCACGCGATGATCATCGTGGTCGTGATCGCATCATCACAGGAAGATCAAATTCACGAGATTCTCTTTCTGCGAGCGCGGCGCGGGGGGCCGCCGGCCTTGCTCGCTATGGGTAACACGAGGCCCCTGACCGCAATGACGCTCTCGCGTCGAGCATCGGCATTGCTTTCTCTGTCACACCATTATGGAGTCAAACATCAAAGGCCACTCGCGTGCGGTTGGCATAATGTTCGCCGCTGCACTTTGCGCGCGATCATTATTACACGACCCATTCGAGTTCGCTTTTGACCCGCCGATTTGACGAAGCTTTCGCGGCGAATCTTTCTGCCGTTATATCACGCAATAAACAGTAATTCGGCGAACGTTCGAGCTCGGTACTGCAGCCCCTTGTGCACGCGCGCCCCCACACACAGACAGACGAACATGCGAAATTGCAATTACTGCAATTCCAAGTCCTATTGTAATTACTTTCAAGGGGATATCGCTGCAACGATTGTAGTTGCCAGCTGGGCTATGCACAAAGGCGAATCTTGAGATTGGAGATTAGCTTTGACAATGCAGAGGAGCCAGAGCTCTCTCTAATCTTCAGCTTCAATGAGATTATGTCCTTGCAATTAAATTAATTACGAAATCTCATTAATGCCTGATTTTGCTATGTAGATAACAATTATTGCGATAAATAAGCTTTTGGGTAATTAATGCATCAGTCTTATGTAAAAGCTCCCCATCGAAAACGTTGTTAAAAAATCTACTGAAAAAAAGGTGTCACTCGTGTACTTCCGTCCGACGGGTTCGGTTACATAAAAGTCGATACTGCGCTCTCGTAGTGCTATAATACCAATTGAGAGAACTCGCGAGTATAAGGATCTTTCTGTCACTATAACTAATTAGCGAGAGAATGAGAGCGCGCTATTAGGCTCGACAAGTCAATTACCTGTTGTCGAGGCGATACAACTGGAGAGGATTTAGTTCAATGCTGTAATGCACTTTCGCATTCGACCTGCGAATTCCATTGAGATAGTGGAGGTTTTTTTTTACCTCTAATGAATTTGTGTAGAGTTAGCGCTTATTCTGTTTGTTTGTTATGGTTGTGAAAAAATTAGGTACAAACTTTTGCTTTGTTTTGGTGAAAATTGCAGCTTCATCGGCAAAAGCGCTTTCATTATACGAGTGTAAGAACGAACCATGCTGCATATTCACACAATAACAAGACTTTATGACTATACATTTAGTACAAAAATATAACATAGTATATAAATTTCATATTCAGGTAAGATTTTTTATATCGCACTTCTGTAGTTATTCAAGCTCTCCATATTGTGGACTTCTTCGTAACGAAGTTCATAAGCGATAGCTTCAAACGCGGATTTTCAAATTCCATTGGATCTGTATTGAAATCGGTTTCATCGTTATTCGGAAATAAAAAATTGCTTTGTTCGCTGATTAAAAATTACATACCCTCGTAACAGACTGCGCCGAACAAAAATGTTATTCAAAACAAGATTCAGCGAGGTTCGTATACTGACAGACGGCTGCGTAACGATCTTAATTTTTAATGGGGAACTCGTGCTACTCGTGGCGCACCAACGAATAATCAGTTATTTACGAGCTTTGATGTTTATTTGTCCTCGTTAACGTGCGTGCAACGCCGTAAATACACCCCCACGCTCGTGGCGCCAGTTTACTTTCGAATCTGCATTTGTACCGACCATTCAATTAAATACACGCAGTAGCCAATAGTCATTAAATCAAAAGTAATCTTTGCCAGAGCCAATCATTCGCGAGGCTTCACGATGATCGATGCGCTCGAAATATTTATCATCGCGTTACCAAATGAACGCGAAACTCATCTCTAGCATCAATCAACGCTGCGCTGCGATGATACACTCCTAGGGCGCGTACATAGTCTACAAGCGCGCGCCTACAGATGAGAAGGAGAAGAAACTTGACGCACAGGCGCAATTACGGGATAGCTTCGCGCACGCACGCACCCTGCGCTACATCGAAACCAAAAGAACGAACGAGCTGTTTTTTTTTTTTTTCGTCTTTTCGTTATTTTTTTTTCATTTTTATTTTTAACTTGCCGAGCTTGTTTGTACGACGCTCATGCGAAAAAAAATAAAGCAACAAAAACCGCGTTGATTGCCGCGAAAATTGCTCAGCTGACTGTTTTTAATGGCCAACAATCGTTAATGTCGGGAAATTGAATAATAACAGCATTAAAGTGTTTTTACGCTCAGCAGTCGCGTTAGATTTGTGTCGATATGAATATATTATCGCGTCGCGTTCGCGCGAGAAAGCTACTAGTTTTCAATACAGATATCGCATTTCTAAAGGGCAACGAAATTAAATGCACGGAAGACAGTTTATTTAGAAAAAAAAGTTTACTTTCAATGAGATATTAGGTTTCAAAAGAATTTTCTCTTATCGTATATTGTAACTTGAAAAGTTTTTACCTTAGCGGAAGTTGTCATAAATTACTTCGGTTGTAACTGTTATTATGTATTTGTTATACAACGTATAGAACCATTTTTGTCAGTTTTTACAAGTTAACTGCTGCACGTACTAGAAAAAATGCAAATTTACGCGAATTAAAAAAAAAATTGCAATAACAACGCACGATATTTCTTCAAAATTCACGAATGCAATAGATATAAAAATAAACCGCGTAAGAAAGCTTACACGTATAC